ACAGGCGTCAGCCACTGTGCCTAGCTGGCCTAGAGATTTTTTTTCCATGAGATTTTCAATTACAAATTCAGTTTTCTTAACAGTTAATTATAGGGATATTTAAATTCATGTTGGGTGAGTTGTAGTAGTTCATGCTTTTTCTGGAATTGGTGGGTTTCACCTAAGAAATTCTATATTAGCTAATCTATGTGCAGTTTTATTCTTCTTTACCTTATATAGACATATTTTCAGTGAAAAGATAATCTAATATATGTATTTATAAAAATAAATGTATATTTTATATCTGTATCATATAATTTTATATCCGTATCATATAGTTTTATATCTGTATCATATAATTTGGATCAAGCTCTAGATGTAGCCAGGACATGAGTGGCAGGCTATATTTGGCACTGATGGGAGTCTCAGTGACCTGTAAAGCCTATGTGTCTCTACACACTTCAGAGTTTGCTCTGCATGAGTCTTTGACCATGTGAATAGCTATACTGTGGCTATACTGTGCAGACAACTCATTCTATTTCATTTTTTTCCATGACTTATTCAAAATAATGTGATACAATGAAAATCAGATTTGCTATGGTCCCTGACCTCAGGTTTGCTTAGAGTCTCTGTAGAGGTTACAGAGAAGTAATCAGGAAATCAGAAATCAGTGTGGTTAATGTTCTGATGAGGAGGCAACAGGTCCTCATGAGAACAGAGAGAAGAGGTACCTATTTTATTCTCTGCATCTCTAGTACCTAGTACAGTACCTGGCACATAGTAGGATCTCACTAAATCTTTGTTGAATGAATGAATAAACTCAGCTGGGTGATCACAGGATCACTTTTGGGGAGAACTTATGTCTGAGTCAAGTTAGTGATATCTACAGGCAGTAGATGAATGGAGGTAATTCTCTCATGTGGATGCATTAATATTCAGTGTCATAGAAGAACAGAAAGCTTAGCAATCTAAATAATCATCTAAAGCTGTCTGTTTGCGAGTGGGGAGTGGTTTTCAAAAGTGATTGCAGACTGAAGGCTAAGAAGAAGTAACTCTGACTAAGGTATGTATTTGACAAGGTTAGCTATGAACCGGAATTGATTTTTATGAATTAGCATTTTTGGTTCTGGCTGTTGTGTTTACCATTGCTAGGTTTAGTTTCTAACATATCTTAAAAATAATGCTCTCCAAATGAATGAAAAATATTTTTTGTGAAGCGTGATACAGCTTTCTCCAGGTCTTACCTACTAGTCTTATTCATACTCTCTTTGCTTTAAATCAAAACTTTTCTATGCTCTAAATATATCTGTGATAAATCATGAGTTTACCACTAATAATGGTGGGTCATATATTTGTGTTTTCATATGCCAGGTACTGTACCGAGACCCTGCCATGGGTTATCTCATTTAATCCGGACAGTGGCCTGTCTGTAAGGAAACCAAACCCAGGGCTCCCATTTTATAGAAGAGGCAACTAAGGTTTGGGGAAGTTAAATAGTGTTACCAAGGTCACTTAGGTAAGTCTAAGACTCACATTTGAATCTAAATCTGTCTGACTTCATTTAACCACTGAGCTATATGTGCTCTTTCCAATGTTTCATATGTCTTTTTATTAAACAAAAATGGCCCAGGATTTAGTTTTACTTGTGTATAGATCCTTAGAAAGTTCATCCGTTAAATGAGGAAAGAGTTTGTTGTGAAATAACATATTAAGACTCCCCTAAAAGCAAATTACAGAAACCCACTTTAAACTAGCCAGCATGGCTGGATGCAAATGCCCCAATAATAAATACAGTGCTCTTCCTCTCTGTGTCTGCTCCTGTCTCCACTTCCTCTTTCCCTCTCCCTGCTTATCCCACTGCCCCACTCCCTCTCTCATTCTGCTTTTCTTCGAGTGTTGGCCCATTCTTTCTTGTCACAGAAGCAGCCCCAGTTGAAACCAGCTCCACTTGTGATTCTAGGAAGAAAGAGTATCTTCTCCGGGAAGAAAAGGCCTGGGGAAGACTCTTGGTCATGAGGACTGGGGGCTGCGACAGAACTTTGTGAACTATGTGGAATGTAGCTGTTGGGGTGACAACATATCCATACTTCATCTTGATAAGACATATCATTTGATGGTTGAAAGCTATAATTATTTAAAGATAATACACAATATATTTTAATAGCTTTATCAAGATATAATTCACATACCATAGGACTCACCCATTTATTTATTTATTTATTTTTGAAACGGAGTCTCAGTCTGTCACCCACACTGGAGTGCAGTGGTGCCATCTCGGCTCACTGCAAGCTCCACCTCCCAGGTTCACTCCATTCTCCTGCCTCAGCTTCCCAAGTAGCTGGAACTACAGTCGCCAGCCACCATACCCAGCTAATTTTTTTGTGTTTTTAGTCGAGACGGAGTTTCACCATGTTAGCCAGGATGGTCTCGATTTCCTGACCTCGTGATCCACCCACCTCGGCCTCCCAAAGTGCTGGGATTACAGGCGTGAGCCACCGTGCCCGTCAGGACTCACCCATTTAAAGTGTACAGTTCAATGGTTTTAATGTATTCACAGATGTGCAGCTATCACCGCTGTCTAATCTGTAACATTTCCATCACAAAAAAAACCTTGCACCTATTAGCAGTCACTCCCCATTTTTCCCAAACCCCTCGGCCTTAAGCAACCGCTCATCTACTTTCTGTCTCTATCGATTTGCTTATTCTAGACATTTTATGTGAGTGGGATCATACGACATGCGGTCTTTTGTGTCTGACTTCTTTCACCAGCATGTTTTCAAGGTTTATCTATCTTTGCGTATCATCATGCATTTCTTATTATTGCCAAACATTCCACTATATGGATATACCACATTTTATTTGTCTGTCTGTTGATGGACATTTGGGTTGTTTTCACTTTTTCGCAATTATGAATAATGCCGCTGTGAACATTTGTGTAGAAGCTTTTGTGTAGATTTAAGTTTTCAGTTCTTTTGTGTGTATGCCTGGTAGTGGAATTGCTGGGTCATATGATAACTGTGCCTCACATTTTGAGGAACTGTTTTCCAAAGTGACTGTACCATTTTACATTCTCACCATCAATGTGTGAGGGTTCCACTTTCTTTAC